GAGCTGCGCCCGCGCCCGCCGCTTCGTGCGTCCGTCCGCGCATCCGTCCGTCCGTCTTTGTCTGTCGGGCCCGTGTCTGCCTAGGTGTCTTTGTCTCTGCGTGTGGCTGTCAGGGTCTAACCCCTGCTGCTGCCGTGGGTGCCGCCGATCTGGCCCGAGCCCCGAGGAGAGGATGCTGCGTCCGTCAGTCCTTCTGTCTTTGTCTCCGTCTCGGACAGACGGGGCTTGTCCACTGCCCGTCCAGAGTCTGATCTCCAGGACCTAAGCGTTGAGTGACATTGGTGTCGGAGGTGAGGAAGTGTGTGTGGGGGGAAGTGAGGCTGCAGGGGTCCGGGCCCGGGAGGGAGCTCTGAGGACAGTTGGGGACCGGCCTCGAACTTCGTCGTCCGGAACTTTGGAGATGGGCTGTGACTGCGCGGGTGGCTTGGACACGGTTAGAGGCTTGGCTTGCTTCCCTGGAGGAATAAGTCACATGGAGATGAGGTCGACAGAAAGGAAGAAGATGAGCCAGGGTGTCTTACGGGCCTCTACAGCTGCAGGCCTCCAGTCTGTCCTGACTGCGTCTCGGGAACTCCTTTCCCCCCTCCGCCAAAGGCAGTCGGCCCCCCTACCCCCGCTGGCTTAACTCCTAGCAGCACAGCTAACTGGGCAGCAACAGGCACCGGCACTCCACTGGTCGGGATGTATAAAGGCTTGAACTGTAGAGCACATGAGTGTTCCGCTCGCCCACGAGTGTAAGGCCTTGGGAAAGTGCTGCAGACTCCATGGCTTCAGACTCCTGAGCTTCCCAGGACTGAGGGATGCATAGAGATCGGAACACCTACCCACTCCTCTCTCAGCTCCTCGCTCTGGTCTCCCAGGGCTGATGAGTTAGGGGAAGGCACTGAGTTTGGACAGTGGGCTGCTTCTCTACTGGATGTGCAGCCTCCTAGTTGCGGACACTCGGGAGGAGCCCAGCCACAGAGATGAGCTGCCTGCTTGGCAGTCTTTCCTGTGCTTTGAGTAGGAGCTACAGAGGGTTTGTAACCTGAGCTTTTTCTAAGTTCAAAAACAATTTTCTGCAGGCACGTGGGTGGGGGGAAAATGGAGGTGTTTGAGGACTTGTGCATAGAGAAGTAGAGTTGGCATTTACAGTGTTTGTGTTCGAGGCTGGAGAATCGTCTGTGGGCAGGAGTCTGCGGGCAGAGCTTCCCCACTAATTAGGCGTGGCCCTACACCTTGTATTTATCCAGCACCTTTCTTCTGAGGTGGTTCTACGCGTCATAGACGTTATCTCATTTGTTATCTCCTTTGTCCTCACAGCGTAACTACCAGGTTGGCATGAGACACATTTACTCTCAGAGTCTGCCAGGGAAAGAAAGGAGACAGCAGAAGGGAAGGGTGTTCCCAGAGCTAATGGGAGTGAAATCAGGCTGCAGGAGTCCCAGAAAGAGGGCCCAGCTGGGTACAAAGGAGTGTGAAGTGCTTATCCTGCTGGAAGTGAGAAAAAAAAAACAGTAGGAAAGAAGGAAGGAGCCTATGCTTGCAAGGGGGAGACTGGATGTGTGCTCTGGATCCAGGTGGTTGGCTAGCATTTACAGCAGTCGCTGTGTACTTGGTGAGGGAGGCCGCTGTAACACTTGAGTGTTACAGCACTTGTGTGTCTGTAGGTGGTGACCTGTCTGTGTGTCTGTTTCTGTGTAGGTGGTGGCATAGGGCTGCCATCGGAGGACGGTGCTGTATGGCACATTTCTGAGGAATGCAGGCGCTTTGCAGGTGGGTGAGGGCAAGATTTACCATTTACTATTGAGAGGACAAGGAACTGCATGTGTGGATGAAGAAACAGGTGGGCTCCAGCAGGATGGAAAAGGCTCTCTAATCTTGAGGACCTATTGATAGGCCTTTGTGCTTATTCAACATTCATTTAATACATTTTCATTGGTATCTACAAAACCCAAGGCTCTGGATTATGCAGTGAGGCTGCAAGGATGACTAAGGTGATTACAAAAAACCTGTGGTTAAGCAGCATACAGACTATTGTAATGGATGATTTTTTTTTAAGAGTAGGAAAAATTTATTGAGGGGAAGAAAGCGCTAAGAGAGACAGAAGGGGGACCAGAAATTGGGTTGCCCGCCCACCCTACTTTTCAAAGATGTTTTATACAGCAAAGCCATTTGGAGAGGCGGATACAAAGTGGGACAAAACTGTAAGACCCAGTGGAAAATTACAAGGTGAGCATGAGGTGGGGCAAAACCATGACCAACCAATAAGATTACAGGTACAGTCACCCAGGTAATACTGATTAAGTGGGGGTCAAATGGGGCAGCAAGTCACTTAGCAAGCATACAAGGATTTTCAGTAAGGATGGGGTTCGGGGATGTTTCCTGGAAAGGCTGGGCTAAGACCTTTGCCCCTTACCCAGGTGATTCATACCAATTTAGAATATCAATCACTGCTATACATCCCCAGGGGAAACACAGGGATATAGTAGTTTCTCTCCTTTTACAATTCTGGCCTTCAGTGAATGTGTTGACTCCTTGCTGTGTTGGCTCCTTGAGGGCCGCCCTGTCTAACTGCCTACAAGATATCTAATTAACTTACCTATCTGCAATATTCCCCCCTCTGAAGAAGTACCCCTCACTTCTGTGAGGGGACAAAGGGCGAAGACAGCTCTGGCTACTTCCAGCTGAGGAGGGTCGTAGTTGTGATCAGCAGTTAGAGTTTCTCTACAGAGGGTCCATCTAAAGGCCTTCCATAGGCACCTGGCATTGTCATCTTGGCAGCTGCATAGCTTTAATTCTCTGACCAGGAATGTCGGTGGAAGACTTCCAAAATGATATAGGGGAAAGAGAGGTAACTCCCAAACTTGCTAGAAATCCAAAACTCATGTTCATGTTCTCTAAAGTCGAAGAATGAATTCTAGGAACAATGGAGGTTAACTAAGCTTAGGAAAAATTTATTGAGGGAAAGAAAGCTTCTGTCTAAGAGAGACAGAAGGGGGACCAGAAAGTGGGTTGCCCAGTAGTGGATAATATTATAATGAGATATAATACCATCCAGTAAGTACACTGAGTGCCCAGTACTTTTATCTTTTATTAATTATCTCCTCTAATTCTCACTGCATCCCCGCAGGGCATCTATGATTATCAGAGAGAATTAAATGACTTAGCTAGGCTGAATGATGAAGGGGTGGGGATTTGAACTCAAGGGAGTAAGACATCAGACCCTGGCTCCTTCCACATTCTCCTGCTACAACTGAACATAGAAACACCTTCTTCCTTATGGAATATTCTTGCCGGGTCCCTTGACCTTCTCCCCTTAAGCAGCTCCCACAGCACTTTTGGTTTTAACCATGAGGATCAGCTTCTCCAAGAAAGTTTCCTCCATCCTTTCCTTAGGGACCTTCAGGGACCTTCCTCTGAGTTCCTATGACTGTTCTCCCATGTTACTGGCTTCTCACAAACTGCAGAGGTGGGATGATGCCAAGAATTCCCAGCTCAGAATACAGTGTCTGGGACCAAGTGAGTACTTATTTAATAAAGTAATGGGAAAGAGGAGAGGGGTGTTGCAGACCCTTGGCGGACAGCACTGTTCCCAGTGTCACTTCTGTCTGGTCCTATGTTGCTCGTGTGGCCTCTCACTTCCTGTCCTCTGTCCTGGGGCCTCTGCCTAGACAGGATGGCTCTGGGCCCAGCCCTGCCCCCAACAGTTCTGGAGCTTGAGGGAACCTAGCCCCCACCCTCCCTCTGCTGTCCGTCCTGCAGAGGTACAGTTAGGGAAGGTGCTAGCATGATTTATAAGGGGGGTGGTTAATTGTGTACTCAGGACCTCAGGGGCAGATGGTTCCAGGGCAATGATGAGGTGTTTCTGGGGTTTTGCCAACAAAGAGGTATCCAACTGCTTGGGGGAATCTCTAGGCGATTTACATCTTTGCTCTTTGAGGTTGCTTTTGAATGGATCTTTGTGAGCTGCAGTTTGGACGCTCAGCTGCTCTGGGGAGCATGAATTGCCACCATGTTAGAGGAAGTAATCTGGTCATGATTCCTCCAAGGCCACACGCTCTGGTGGCTCTCTTTTCAGGTCTTCGCCTCATCTTGCCATTTCCCATAGTGCAGTGGCCACAGGTGCTCTCAGGGGTCAATGATGAATTTAGTTTTTCTTTCAAAGATCATTATTCAAGTGTGAAAAAGTGCACTTCACTGTTTATTAAAGATCTTCTCTATGTGAGGTGCCAGGGAAATGGGTGATTTTTACAAAAGGCTGATTAATACTTTGAGGCTAAAATTTGTGATGCTAATTGGAAAAAAAAGACCAGCACACAGGAATCAGTAACAAGTCCCTTGTTGCACTAACTTTAGCAGCCGCCCAGCAGGAGGGAGGTGAGCTGGAGACACTGGGAGGAGGTGGTGGACTGGTTGTGAGCTGAGCCTGGAAGTCAAACCTCAGGAGAGTAGGCCAGGTCTGGCTCCACAGATACAAAGTGAGAGCTGAGCAGATGGGCTTTTCTCATCCTAGGGGAACCCCAGGGAGAGTCTGTCACCTCCCTTCACAAGAGCTGG